TACTGAAGAGGAATTGCGGAACTTCATCAGTAAATCGACCGAAATAATGGGCAAAGGAAAATTTGACTTAAGATGCTGGGAGCATACGAAAATACATAATGATGAAGATGAAGAAAAATAGGAAGTAACTAAAGTACTTGGATTACTGTGGAACAAACGGGAAGATTCCTTGTTTTGTGATTTACCAAAAATGAAGATGAAAGATATGCCAATCACACGGCGTACAGTGTTATCTGTGACTCAAAGAATATTTGATCCAATTGGATTTAGTTGTCCAGTCACATTGATACCAAAATTGATTCTGCAAAAAAGTTGGCAAGAAAAACTAAGTTGGGATACCGAATTAACAGAAGATTTGAAAAAGGAATTCTTAGTTTGGCTTGAGGATTTATCTTTATTATCATCAGTGAGAATTCCTCGCCAAGCAACAGCAGTTAATAGAATTTCTAGTAGTTTGCATGTTTTTGCTGACGCTTCAAAATATTCGTACGCAACTGCCATTTTTCTTAGAAATGAATCGCAAGATGAAATAAAAGTGCAACTTTTACAGGCGAAGTCAAGAGTTTCTCCACTGCGAAAAATTACGATTCCAAGACTTGAATTATTAGCCTGTTATATTGGCGCTAAGTTATCTGAATTCGTCACGAAAAGTTTAACTCTGGAAATAAATGAAACATATTATTGGACGGATTCAACAACTGCCTTGTTCTGGATTAAGAATAATGACCTACCCTGGGGAACATTCGTTTGTAACAGAGTGAAGAAAATACGTGAATGTAGTGATCCCAAGGATTGGAGACATGTTCCTGGTATTAGTAATCCTGCTGACTTGCCATCTAGGGGATGCACTGTTTCAAAGCTTCTGGAAACTAAATGGTGGGAGGGCCCACTTTGGTTGTCCAAGTCTAAAGAAGAGTGGCCTAATTCAACCCCAATAGAAAATGAAGAGGAAATATACTTGGAGCAGAGAAAAACCGTTGTGGCAACTCTTACCTGCGAGAACACTGAAAATTCATGGATGCTAGCATATTTTTCGAGTTACTTAAAAATTTTAAGAATGACGGCATGGATTCTAAGATTCCTCAAAAATGCTCAGAAAACAAGAGCTGAACAAGAGATTGGCGAGCTGAAATTGTACGAATTGAATGAGGCTGAAAAGATATTAATGAAGCAGATTCAGCAAAAGTCATTTAATGACGAAGATATCTCAAGGTTAAAATCTTTATGCGTCTTTAAAAACGAAGAAGGTATCTTAAGAGTAAGCACCAAGTTAACTGAAAGAAAAGATCTTGAAAGCTTTATCAGTCCTATACTGCTGCCAAGCACGCATAAACTTGTGATAATAATGATTTTTTACATGCACAAAAGTATGTGCCATGCGGGGATTCAGATATTGATGTCTAAATTAAGAGAACGATTCTGGATTATAAGATCTCGTAAGACGATTCGCAAAGTTTTAGCTCGTTGCGTGAGATGTAAAAGACGCCAAACTACGAGGATCGAATGCAATCCAGGAGTGTTACCTGAAAACAGAGTCAAAGATGCATTGGTGTTTGAAATAACAGGAATAGATTTGGCGGGACCTTTGATGCTTAGAGAAAAATGCAAAGCGTGGATAATTATATTTACATGTGCTGTCTACAGAGCCATCCATTTGGAATTGATAACTTCTCAATCAACACAAAGTTTTTTGCTTGGTTTACGACGATTTATAGCCAGACGAGGAAGACCGAAAGTTATTTATAGCGATAATGGCACCAATTTTACAGGAGCTAACAACCTATTTAAATCGTTAGATTGGAAAATGATCGAAATTGAAGCATCTGTGAATAGGATTCAATGGAACTTTAATCCTCCTGCTTCCCCATGGTGGGGAGGATTTTGGGAAAGAATGGTGCAGATGGTTAAAAAACTTCTTCGTAGGGTTTTAGGTCAATCAGCTTTAAATTATGAAGAAATGACGAGCGTCCTTTGTGATTGTGAGACAACAATAAATTCTAGACCTCTCACTTATGTCTCAGAACAAGGGGATGAACTCATTCCATTGACGCCAGCTATGTTCTTGAAAGAAATAGATGATGTCGGAGTGCCAGATTTAGATCAACTTGATCAAGTAAATTTGAATAAAAGATTAAGGTACCAGCAAAATTTGCGCAATGCTTTAAGAGAAAGATTTAGAAGTGAGTACCTTGGGCAATTATTACAACGACCATCAAAGAGTAAACCGATTGAACCTTTGAAAGTAGGAGATATTGTTTTAATCGAAACTGACGGTAAAAAAAGAACTTTATGGCCAATGGCTAAAATAATAGATGTTTTTCCTGGTAAAGATGGGCAAGTACGAGTGGTTCGCCTTAAAACTTCATCCTGTGAACTCGTCAGGCCTGCGCAGAAGATTTTCCCACTCGAAATTTCCTCACCCACTGAACCTAATCTAATAAATAATGAAGCACGCAAGAATAAACCAGAGAAGGACTTGCAGGTAGTTGGAAAAACAGTAAGAACGAGAAGTGGAAGACTTATTAAAGTGCCAATTAAATTTTTGAGCTGAAAAACTTGGACTTTCGGAACAGTATTTTAACATTATAATTTTCATTCATTTTACTCATAGAAATATAATTAGTTTTTATTAGTAAAGTAAACCTCCAATCAACACGGTGGGAGGATTGTTACGTTTTGAAATAAGAATTGGATAGGTTTTGTATAATGGAGAGTTGGGTGAAAGCGTTTTTGTTTGTCTCCAAATAACTTTTGACTTATACAATGGAACTCGAGTTTATGTTTTAGAAATATGTTGAAATTTTGTATTTTCTTTTAAGAATTTTTGTTTAATAAAATTTAGGAGTGGAAGAAATGTGTTACAATTCTTGCCGTACTCAACAATAAGGCTTATGCATACTTTTTGTTCATTTTAATTTTTAAGGTAATATGATTCTTAAAACTATGGAATATGAAGTTTAATTAGACTTTCATGTTATATCATTAAATTTAGTAAAACTATTTCTTAGGCATTAGATTTTAACTTTTATAAGAATATACATATTTTTTCCTGTTTTACAAATATTTTTCTGATCTGTTTTGGATGTTCCTTCTCTAAAAAAAAATATATATATAATTTTGTTTTCGTTTGCATAAGAAAGAATATCAAACATTTTTCTTTTTTAAATTTAATAAGCTACAATAAAGAAGGAACGTTGCAATGCTACATGCTACATTGAAGACGTCTCTAGAGTAACTGAATGATTGTTCATACAGAAATCGCAGGTATTGTTCTCATACAACAACGCCCCCTATAGTTCGTTGTGATCGCGAATTTAAAGGAAAACAACACCTTTATGACTTTTGTTAATTTTATGCTGATGACAACCTAAACAATATGGAAATGAATGGGGGGAAACTGGATCTTACCACGTGATTTTCTGGCGAATAAAAATGCGCCGACAATAATGGAAAATGGTATCAGACCATTATGATTTTATATTATATAGAGATATGTGCTCTTTTGAAACCTAAGCCTAAATTATAAAATAAGCACTTTAACAGAGTCATGAAAAATTGGAAGACTACATTGTTAAGTTAAATATTATTCACAAAAGAAGCAAGATAAGTCACACAGGCCCCTTCATCTTTCTAGTATTAATACAGTTTGTGATTAAATATATTCATATAAAACTATGTGTAATTAAACACTCTCCGGTTTCTACTAAAAAGACCTTCATGTAGTGCATGTAATTTAAAGAAATTTTACACAAATTGTAAGGAAGACTTATAGGAAGAGTATGTAAAAAAATCTATAAGATTAAAATATAGATGTATAATTATGAGTCCAAATTCTGTGTTTTTCTAATTTTTAACCTGTACAGGGTGGTGCATGATTTTAGTAGGAATTACCATGCTGATAAAATCAAGTAATTTGCTGAAATGAGTAATTTCATCATAAAAGTAGGAAATTATAGATAAAATCTTTAAAACATTTTTTTCAATGTGTTAGGTTTTTGTTAAATGTATTTACATAACTTTCAACATAAGGAGGAAAAATATTTTTTAATGGTGCACACATCTTATATGAAGTTATCTTAATTGCTTAAAAATATTTTTAAGTACTTCAGACCTAATTTTTTAAAAGTAATATACATAACCTGCATTAACTTCATACGAAATATGAATATCAATCATACGAATATCAATCCATAAATATACGAAAAACATGTTTTAGAAGTGAAAACAGATACTTAAAAAAAAAATCGTGATAAGAATTTTCCCCAAATTTTTGATAAGCAATTGAACAAGTATAGACATTGTTACATATGTGGAGATATAAATCATTTTGGACGATATTGTCCGAAGCGGTGGAAAAAACAATTTGCCTCAAGAGAAACTACAGAATCATCGGAAAATCCCATAAACAAACACTATAGCGTTAATTCCTGCAAAAGGAAAAAATAAATCCGACATCTAACATGAACTTACAAACTTTTCACATTAATGCTTCACAAATCCCTTGTTAAAATTTGTGAATAATCAAAAGTTTAAAGCTTTGTGCGATTCAGCCGCTCTGATAATGGTCTTCAATTTAAACCAGACTGGGAAAATGCTGGGTACGGGGAAAATAAGATTGAAAAAACGACCATATGTAGACTATAAATTTGATTTGTATACTTTTGACAGGAACATGAAAGTGTTGAACGTTTCTATATTAATATAGATGAGAAATCACGAAAACTGGGAGTAAAATTTGCGTTAGTTAGAAATTTTATGAGTGTGGATCCCTTCCTCGAGAATCCTGACACAGGAACCTTTTTCTTTCTAGCAGCTCATTGCGAAGTAGACGTCCTGTGAATGTAGTTAATGATCAAAGAATTAGTAATGTTGATCTGGATGCAAATGGATAAAATTCATAACCTCTCCTGTGGAACAAAGAGGGATGTCCGAATGATAGATAGGCGAAGATAGTCATGTCTATTTTTTAAGTTTATCAAGACTATAGGATTTTATTATCTTCTTTAAGAAAATATATATTAGTTTAGCCTAGAGACTAATTTTAACCTAGTGACTGACTGACTCCATAACGTCCTTTCTGGCTCCGGGGCTTATAAACTCCAACCAACCAATCATTAATGATTCTAAAAAAATTTTTAGGGAAAATCTGTTGGGAATTGAATGAGGATGAACCTCATTTTTCCTGCAGTAGTAGCACTTTTTGGTTATTTTTTTAACAGGTTTGTTCGTCGCCCTACAATGCTGTATGAAATTTGTTTATCAAAAAGCGCAATGGAAGCATTTATCCGTTGTCCTGAGCAAATTAGAATCTATGCAAGGCAACTAATTCTTAGCAATTTCTGCAGTCTGTCAATGAGGTCATTTATCATAATATTGAACAAGAATCAGCTTGTGGCAGTTTTATCAGAATCAAATTATATGAATAAATATACTGTTCCGCCTTCATTGATAATATTTTTAAAAATTCAGTGTATAATTCTAATTTTAGAAAGTAATCTCCTCTGCAGAGGATAAAAAATGCGATGGCGTGTCTCTGAATCATCCACAGGGATGTTTCCCAGACTGTCGCCAATAGCCCATTGTGCAGCTCTAGTGGACTGATCGCAAAGACACGGTTCCCAGTAGAACACCGAAGTCAAGTCTCTCCGGCTGTAGTCAGTAACGCGTCGTGAGGCGTTGGGCAGAACCCCTCCCGCCTGAAAGTCTGGGGCTGGCTATGGTAACAAGCAAGGACACATTTCAAATGGGGAAGAAAAGGTGTTGATTGATTAACTCACGACGACCTACGCTAAGATTAAGGTGGTCCTAAAGCCGTATACCTGATGGTTCTGGAAATTAGATGGCGCTACAAGACTACGAGAAATGTGAATTTACCGCTAGTGAGGACAATTTGCGAAAAAAAGCATAAAATACTTATTTATATTCTCATTAATTGCAAATTATTTTTGTTTTAGGTATTAATATAGATTGTTGGCTTTATTCCAATAGCAGTTTTAAAACATTTTATTCAGTATTTAATTTGTTTAACTGTTCGGGAGAAAAGTCACTAATTAATAATTTTTCCAGCATCGAAAATCAGAATATTTTGTTTTTTCAGTTGTTTACGAACGCGCTTGAAAGAGAGTTATTCAGGATTTAGCGACTAGCATCAGCAATTTTAATGTTTACATTGATATCACGTAGCTTTCATTTGTGTTGTTTCTTCACATTTAAATTCGAAATAAACTTGAAAGTTCAACCAAAGAAAAATCGTTGGAAATCTAGATGCAAAGGTGTTAAAACATCGTATTTGTTATGTTAAAACTTAGAGACATACATAAGAATAATTTAATCTACATACTCTGCTGAAATTTCTGGCAAATGTCTCAAAATAAAATTATCTGCTAGTTAGTTTTACTAATATTTATACGCTACTAAAATATTTCTATCAAAATCGTTATATTTTCTAAACGAATAAGAGCTCAATATTTTTTTGTTTTCTCAAGAATCTGAAGTTTAAAAAATTGTATTTAATGTTAGTACGTACACAAAAAATCAATTTCAATCTTGCATTATTTGGAAATTATTATTATCAAATAAAATAGATGATCCTGGTAATTAATGACCTATTATTAATGATTTTTTAAAAATATATATATAACGATAAAGTGTTAAATTCACTTTTTGTGTATTAAGTGTTGATGGCACTGGAATTGGACTAACTGGAATTTCTCAAAAGAATTTTAAAATTTGCAAGCATTTTTTCTTCAAAAGCATCTACTAGAGTTTTAAGTACGGATAATTTAATTAAAAAATGTAGCTTTACTTTTGAGTATTTTATTTATTCAAAAAGCAGTTTTGTGATGGCAAATTTTGCAATTTGAGAGTAAAAAACAGTATTGTGATAGGAAATTTTGCAATTTGAGAGAACTAAAATTTACAAATTTTATATGATCTTTCTTTTTTTTTCTTCTGAAAATAGCATGTTGAACTTTTGCAATTTATTTTAACTGCAACTAATTTTAACTAGAACCTGGTTGCAGTGGTTTCACTCTTATTATTTATTTGTTTATTTTATAACATAATTTAAAGTTTATTATAATAATAAAGAGTTGTTACCTTATGCATACACATACATTTATAAATTTTTTGCCCATTTAAATTTTATTATATTTAAATTATATTATATAGATGAATATTGGAAAAAATTTAAGCAATTTTGCATTAATAAAAAATTTTTAATTTATGATTATCATAACAAAAACAATCAAATGACAGTATGCCATGCTCCTGTATACATTCCTACTGCACCCTATTAAAAAAAAATTTCTACATAAGCAAGGTATACACACTTCCTTTGAAATAATGGCATTGAGTAGATTACCCCCTGTGTGATTTTTGTGCCTTCAGCCCTTGATTTTTCAAATTAACCATGTTTATGATTATAAAAAATTATTTGAAAGTATTTACATTTTTAAATGTAATATAGAAGATTTTTGTATAAGTATATCCTTCAAAATAAGTGACATTAAAGCAGTAGCATTTAATTGAATATATTAAAAATTTATGATT